ACCTTGCGCTTGCCAGGCAGGCGCTTTGCCGCTGAGCTAAATCCCCAGCCCCTACATGGCATTTTAAAACAAAGCTAGGATTGTACAATGTTTTACCTTTTAAAAAATTTTTATTATACAGCAGCTATTTCTTTAGGGCATTAAATCTGTGAAAACATGATATTCAGTTGACTGATTCACAATCTAACAATTTAAATGAAATCTAACAAAATGAAATCTAAATGGAATATAAATTTACCTCCAGTTGTTGGATATTCCGATTATTTTGAGTACTTGCCGTTAGAGTCCACCCTATGAAACATCTTTCTTTACACACAGAAGTGTTTATCGAATGCTTACTGCATGTCAGGTACTGCTTTGGAGCTGGAAATAATTCTGATCTCATAGGCTTTACATTCCAGAAAGGGAAACATAAGAAACAAACACAGATAATAGAATCTCAGCTCCGCAAATCTTGGGAAGGAAGAAAAGCTGGGTGAGGGGGCAGAAGCTGATGGGGAAAAACGCACTTTAAAAGGACCATCAGAGAAGATCCCGCTCAGGGAGTGACTCGGGGCAGAGACCAAAAGCAGGTCAGAGTTCTGGGGACAGATTCTGTCTAGCCAGAGGGAAGTACCAGAGCAGCAGGTGGGATTAAACTTGGCATGTCCGACCGCAGCAGGAAAACCAGTGTGGCTGCAACACCACATGTGGAGAGGAACGAGAAGGAGAGGAGGCAGGCCCAGGTCACATGGTGCCCAAGGGAAGCGCTGTGGCTCTCCATTGAGTGAGGTGAGGCTGAGTCCTCTGGGATGGATTTGGAGGTGGAAATGTGCAGGCTGAAAGTTTCTGAGGAGGGAGCTCAGGTAGCTATCTCACCTCCACAGGTGTAAAGGAAGCAGGATTTGGCAGAGGGAGAAGCTGAACTGAGAGGCAGCCTATCCCACCCAGAGTTCTTAAGATAGAATGTCCAGCGTGAAGCAAGCTTATTACCCCTGCCTCAAACATCAGTGGGTGAGGCGGCCAGGAGGGTGGCCTTGGAGGAGGCAACTCTCTTTATCCAGGCAATTCCTATAGAGAGTCTCAGCTGAGAGCCGTCCTGTCAGCAGCCCCAGCGTCAGGGAAAATTAGTGCCTCAGCCCTGGAGACACGCCTGGGGAGCACAGCGGGGCATCTGCTGCAGAAAGTCCCTCAAGGGTTCTGCAAGGGAGCGGCACGACTGAAGTCACACTTTTAAAGATCACCCCAGCTGTTGTGCTGAGAAGTGATGGTTGAGAGCAAGGAGACCAATTAAGTGGGGGATTTGGGGTTTCTGGCCCTCCGCTGGCTGGAGAATAAGCCAGGAAGCAGTGCGGAGCCCGGTAGTGAGGGAATAAGGGATTCACTGCAGGACCCCATTCATTCTTCTAATATCAGCAAGAATAGCTGCAGAAAGTTACAGGGATCCCGGCAGGCGCCATCCACCCCGTCCAGAGAGAGATGATGCATGAGCAGGTGCTATATTTAGAATAATAAATGATCCAGAAAACTGATGATATTAAAAACTAGTTAAACAGTAAGGGTGATTTTGCTATGTCACTGTATAAAATAGGAAAATGGTGTGAACGTTAACGGATATTGATAATACAGACAAAACAGGCAATGCCGATTTTCCCATCTCAGTCCAGGCCTCAACAGGTATATATGCTATGAACACAACAGGTATATATGCTATGAACACAACAGGTACATATGCAAAATTCTAGGCCAGAAATTTAACACTAACACCTGACATAAATTTTCCAGAGTATATTATCAGATCTAATTTTTAAATATTTTGCCAGTTCAGATTGTAAAATATTTCCTCTAAAGAGCTGGTTCTGAATTTTTGCATATCTGAGGACCATTTTGGATGTTTAACTAAACTGCAAGTTCTGGCTTTCAACCCCACAGACTTGGTGCGGGGTTGGGTGTGCTCCAAATATTCAAGGGGACTCTGGTAGAAGCGTTGATGGACAGTCTTTGATGAACAACAACTAGGAGAAAACTTACCAAAAAGCAGAAGGCAACATGCATTCTAATGTGGTCCACTGGTACCTTGGCAAGTAGAACAATGATACGCAATTGCAAATGATAATGTCATCATAAATAACCTTTCTCCAACAGAGTTATACATCACCCTTCAGTATGGCTGAGTTTAAACCACTCCTCACCTGAAAGTCCTGTAAACCCAAGTTCATATTGTTTGTGTCAGAAAATAGCTCAGCGGAAGGTGATCAGCCAAAGGAAGTGCCGGGGCTAAACCACAGGGAAGCAGGGAATCAAGTGCACTTATCGCCACATCTGCTGCACTGCCTAAGAAAGTTTTCATTTCGCACCCAAAGCGAAAGAACAACTTCAAGACCCATAAATAATACATCGAAGGAGAGAGCTCGTCTGAATGCTGTATCTGGAGAGGCCCTGCCAAGATAAAAGGCTCTGTTCAGTGTTCATCTCACTGGCAGAAAACAAGGCAAGCAGGGAGGCAGAGTTGTGATTGACCCCAAAGCATGTACGAGAAATGAACCACGGAGAGTGTGGAATTAAATGCCTCATACAGAAAGAGAGCAGGAAGGTGAAAGTCTAGCAAATCTGCAATTCAAGAGATATAAAACTCTGTTTGATCCAGTGTACTGATGTGCTGAATCTGAATGAAATTCACACTTTTTTTCCTAGTGAGTATAGTAAGGTACAAAAATAAATTTAAAGTTAAGGCTTCGGCATCCTATCTCTCCTAGACAAACAAACAGACACAGTTAATTAGAACAGCAGGTTTCAACCTTTACTGGAAACTGTAGAAAGCTAATATGTTCCCCTACTGAGCCAACAAGATAAAATGTATAATAAATACTAAATTTATAACTCAAGATTCTTATTAATTCTGATTTACAAAAGACTAGCCTTCTTATGGGAAGATAGAACTAGTGTGAGAGCACCAATCTGATGGATCCCATGTTAGTAGATTTTAAAACTATCCCTAACTGAAAACCTGTTATCAAAAATAAAGAGGGGAGATAGACATTGTCATGTAATAAAAAATCTGATCGAGAAAATACATTTAGAATAAAAAGTCAAATCTTAGGGGCTGGGGATTTAGCTCAGCGGCAAAAGCGCCTGCCTGGCAAGCGCATGGTCATGAGTTCGGTTCCTGGTACCAGAGAAAAACCAAAAAAAAAAAACAACAAAAGTCAAATCTTTATTAGTCACAGGAGTCAAGAAATAAAGCAGGGCAAAAATAATTAACATTTGGCTTTGCTATTTATAATATTATACAGATTTATCTTGACAACTCTTTTTTGAGACACGGCTCACTATGTAGTTCAGGCTGACCTTGAACTCACTGTGTAGCCCAGGCTGGCCTCAAACTCAGTGATCCTCCTGCCTCAGCCTCCCAACTGCTGGGATTACAGGTGTGTGCTACCATGCCTGGATTGACAACTGGTTTTTTTCATGGAAACATACAGCAGATAAGTTTTTGTAACTCTTTTATTATGAGCATAGTCACAATGGATGGAGAGTGGCCCACAAAAAAGGTGTTGGGGTAAATCATGTTGAGATTTGAATATTACCGTTTATTCTGTGGAATCAGAGTGTGAACGTTAAAAATAGAGCTTCCCCTTTCATCACTGATTGAGTAAGTAGGAGACTTGCTTTCTCACCAAAATCAAAACTGGGTAAAATATGTGAGGAAATTTTTTTTCAGGTTTTGAAAAACAAGTAGCACAGAACTGTGATTCTTGAGAGAAAGAAAATGCACAAAATAAATGCCACAATAATTCTGATTTTCTATCTGCTGCCCCCTCTGTGGCAAACCAGCATTCTTTTTTTTTTTTTTTTTTTTTTTTTTT